CAGCCAATCATATAAGCCAATTAATAACAAAAGCAAAGAAACACATCGACAGCAATACAATAATATTGGGGGACTTTAACACACCCCTCACTGAAATGGACAGATCATCTAAGCAAATGATCAACAAGGAAATAAAGACCTTAAATGACACACTGGACCAAATAGACTTCACAGATATACTCAGAACATTCCATCCCAAAGCAACAGAATACACATTTTTCTCTTGTGCCCATGGAACATTCTCCAGAATAGATCACATCCTAGGTCACAAATCAGGTCTCAACAGGTACCAAAAGACTGGGATCATTCCCTGCATATTTTCAGACCACAGTGCTTTGAAACTAGAACTCAATCACAAGAGGAAAGTCAGAAAGAACTCAAATAAATGGAAGCTAAAGAGCATCCTACTAAAGAATGAATGGGCCAACCAGGAAATTAAAGAAGAATTAAAAAATTCATGGGAACAAATGAAAATGAAAACACAACTGTTCAAAATCTTTGGGATGCAGCAAAGGCAGTCCTAAGAGAAAAGTATATAGCAATACAAACCTTTCTCAAGAAACAAGAAAGGTCTCAAATACACAACCTAACCCTACACGTAAAGGAGCTGGAGAAAGAACAGCAAATAAAGCCTAAACCCAGCAGGAGAAGAGAAATAATAAAGATCAGAGCAGAAATCAATGAAATAGAAACCAAAAGAACAGTGGAACAGATCAATGAAACTAGGAGCTGGTTCTTTGAAAGAATTAACAGGATTGATAAACCCCTGGCCAGACTTATCAAAAAGAAAAGAGAAATGACCCAAATAAATAAAATCACAAATGAAAGAGGAGAGATCACAACAAACACCAAAGAAATACAAACAATTAGAAGAACATATTATGAGCAACTCTATGCCAGCAAATTAGATAACCTGGAAGAGATGGATGCATTCCTAGAGATGGATCAACTACCAAAACTGAACCAGGAAGAAATAGAAAACCTAAACAGACCTATAACCACTAAGGAAATTGAAGCAGTCACCAAAAATCTCCCAACAAACAAAAGCCCAGGGCCAGATGGCTTCCCAGGGGAATTCTACCAAACATTTAAAGAAGAATTTATACCTATTCTTCTGAAACTCTTCGACAAAATAGAAATGGAAGGAAAACTTCCAAGCTCGTTTTATGAGGCCACCATTAGCTTGATCCCAAAACCAGACAAAGACCCCATCAAAAAGGAGAATGACAGACCAATATCCTTGATGAACACGGATGCAAAAATTCTTACCAAAATACTAGCCAATAGGATCCAACAGTCCATTAAAAGGATTATTCACCACGACCAAGTGGGATTTATCCCTGGGCTGCAAGTTTGGTTCAACATCCGCAAATCAATCAGTATGATACAATACATTAATAAAAGAAAGAACAAGAACCATATGATCCTCTCAATAGATGCAGAAAAAGCATTTGACAAAGTACAGCATCCTTTCTTGATCAAAACTTTTCAGAGTATAGGGATAGAGGGTACATACCTCAATATTATAAAAGTCATCTATGAAAAACCCACAGCGAATATCATTCTCAATGGGGAAAAACTGAAAGCTTTCCCCCTAAGGTCAGGAACGCGGCAGGGATGTCCACTATCACCACTGCTATTCAACACAGCATTAGAAGTCTTAGCCACAGCAATCCGACAACAAAAAGAAATAAAAGGCATCCAAATCGGCAAGGAAGAAGTCAAACTCTCACTCTTTGCAGATGATATGATACTTTATGTGGAAAACCCAAAGCACTCCACCCCAAAACTGCTAGAACTCATACAGGAATTCAGTAAAGTGGCAGGATATAAAATCAATGCACAGAAATCAGTGGCATTCCTATACACCAACAACAAGACAGAAGAAAGTGAAATTAGGGAGTCAATCCCATTTACAATTGCACCCAAAATTATAAGATACCTAGCAATAAATCTAACCAAAGAGGCAAAGAATCTGTACTCAGAAAACTATAAAATACTCACGAAAGAAATTGAGGAAGACACAAAGAAATGGAAAAACATTCCATGCTCATGGATTGGAAGAACAAATATTGTGAAGATGTCTATGCCACCTAGAGCAATCTACACATTCAATGCAATCCCTATCAAAATACCATCCACTTTTTTCAAAGAAATGGAACAAATAATCCTAAAATTTGTATGGAACCAGAGAAGACCCCAAATAGCCAGAGGAATGTTGAAAAAGAAAAGCAAAGCTGGTGGCATCACAATTCCAGACTTCAAGCTCTATTACAAAGCTGTCATCATCAAGACAGTATGGGACTGGCACAAAAACAGACACATAGATCAACAGAACAGAATAGAAAGCCCAGAAATGGACCCTCAACTCTAGGGTCAACTAATCTTCGACAAAGCTGGAAAGAATGTCCAATGGAAAAAAGACAGTCTCTTCAACAAATGGTGTTGGGAAAATTGGACAGCCACATGCAGAAGAATGAAACTGGACCATTTCCTTACACCACACACAAAAATAGACTCAAAGTTGTTGAAAGACCTCAATGTGAGACAGGAGTCCATCCAAATCCTAAAGGAGAACACAGGCAGCAACCTCTTCGACCTCAGCTGCAGCAACTTCTTCCTAGAAACATCACCAAAGGCAAGGGAAGGGCAAAAATGACCTATTGGGACTTCAGCAAGACTAAAAGCTTTGACACAGCAAAAGAAACAGTCAACAAAACCAAAAGACAACCGACAGAATGGGAGAAGATATTTGCAAATGACATATCAGATAAAGAGCTAGTATCCAAAATCTCTAAAGAACTTCTTAAACTCAACACGCAAAGAACAAATGATCCAATCAAGAAATGGGCAGAAAACAAGAACAGACATTTTTCCAAAGAAGACATCCAAATGGCCAACAGACACATGAAAAAGTGTTCAACATCACTTGGCATCAGGGAAATCCAAATCAAAACCTCAATGAGACACCACCTCACACCAGTCAGAATGGCTAAAATTAACAAGTCAGGAAATGACAGCTGTTGCACGGATATGGAGAAAGAGGAACCCTCCTACACTGTTGGTGGGAATGCAAGCTGGTGCAGCCACTCTGGAAAACAGTATGGAGGTTCCTCAAAAAGTTGAAAATAGAGCTACCATATGATCCAGCAATTGCACTACTGGGTATTTACCCCAAAGATACAAATGTAGGGATCCGAAGGGGTATGTTCACCCCAATGTTTATCGCAGCAATGTCCACAATAGCCAAACTGTGGAAAGAGCCAAGATGTCCATCGGCAGATGACTGGATAAAGAAGAGGTGGTATATATATACAATGGAATATTATGCAGCCATCAAAAGGAATGAAATCTTGCCATTTGCAACGACGTGGATGGAACCGGAGGGTATTATGCTGAGTGAAATAAGTCAATCAGAGAAAGACATGTATCATATGACCTCACTGATATGAGGTATTCTTAATCTCAGGAAACAAACTGAGGGTTGCTGGAGTGGTGGGGGGTGGGAGGGATGGGGTGGCTGGGTGATAGACATTGGGGAAGGTATGTGCTATGGTGAGTGCTGTGAATTGTGTAAGACTGTTGAATCACAGACCTGTGCCTCTGAAACAAAGTATATATTGTATGTTTTAAAAAAAAAAGAAGAAGAAGAAGATAGCAGGAAGGGAAGAATGAAGGGGGGAAATTGGAGGGGGAAACGAACCATAAGAGACTATGGACTCTCAGAAACAAACTGAGGGTTCTAGAGGGGAGGGTGGTGGGGGGATGGGTTAGCCTGGTGATGGGTATTAAAGAGGGCACGTACTGCATGGAGCACTGCGTGTTATACTCAAACAATGAATCATGGAACACTATATCAAAAACAAATGATGTAATGTATGGTGATTAACATAACATAATAATAAAAAAAAATCTGGGGGCGCCTGGGTGGCTCAGTTGGTTAAGCGACTGCCTTCGGCTCAGGTCATGATCCTGGAGTCCCAGGATCAAGTCCCGCATCGGGCTCCCTGCTCAGCAGGGAGTCTGCTTCTCCCTCTGACCCTCCCCCTCTCATGCTGTCTCTCTATCTCATTCTCTCTCTCAAATAAATAAATAAAATCTTTAAAAAAAATCTGAAAAAACCTTGAATTTACAATGAATAAATTTTTATATAAATTATGAATATTTTTAATGTAGGTATGTTCCATGCAATATTTAAGACATATTTATACTAAAAAACATATTCCTTGTTTATCTGAAATTCAAATTTAACTGAATACCCTGTGTTTTATTTGCCTACCCTACAAATGGTCAAGTAATTCCTTTGATCTATATGTGCTGTGAACATTCCAAACCACTGACTCAAGAGCAATTTTTATAGAGGTACTAATTTTTTATAAATGTACTAATTTCTCAGCATGACTCTTCTAATTTTTATATAAGCTATTGGATTGATTATTCCTATTCCTGCCTTTTTATTGCTTCCAAATATTACATGCAATGATAAGATACTTTCTCCCCAAAATTCATTTTTATCACCTATGTTTTGAATAAAATGTATACCATACACAGCCCCTTTTTGGTAGGTAGCAAAAGATGTACCATGAAAAATCATCAACTGTTATAACTACAAAAAGTCCTGCTGTCTTACAGGTAAGGGCCCATCCACTTACGCTCCTCTCCATGTAGGACTGAGCCGGTTAGTACACTATTGGGACACCAGTTGGTGGGTTTTTCAGTTACCAACACACCACATGTGGCAGCTCTGACACTGTCTGGATAAACGTAGGTCCTTGCGCCTGTCTATCCCTTCAGCACTATACCACCTAAGACAACACCGAAATACATCTTTTAAAAGACAACTATTACAAACCCGTCCAATTATAGATCTCAGGCAGTGGGGAAGAATGCACTCCTGTGTTGGAAGGAACTGTGAGCCCCTGGTCTGAGAGCTCCCCTAGGACTATTTACTCCCAGTAGGAAGACAGTTGAAGATCAAAGAGGATGCTCCTCGCTTTTACCTGGAGTGGCACCACCCTGGACATCAGGTGATCAAAATAAAGGTCCACTGCTTCGGTGAAGCCCTTGTAAGTTGTTCTCAGCCTCATGCCAGAGTCTTGGAGTAACCAGCTTGAATAAAAGGGGGGGTGGGAATTAGTTGCACTGTTTGTGGGTTTGTCCTGGGCAGGATGATGGTGGGGAGAAAAGAAGCAGCTTCAGAGTCCTGGGGGGAGCGGGACCATTCCCACGCCACTACCTCCTCAGCCAGAAAGGCAGGAGATTGTGCAAATAGATCCAGAGGCAAACTCTGCCACAGCTCCAGCCCCACACTCTGCACTGCTTCCCTACAAAAAGACAACCTGCACTGCAAGGGATTTTATTTCCAGCTTTGTGGCTATTGGTCTGGCTGCCAGTCAGAGTGAGAAAAGCTTTCCACTGAACTCAAGCCCAGTGTTGAAGCATTTATTCTAACATCTCATTACAAAGGGGTGAAGCCAAAGGGGTTAAGGAATCACTGGGGCCAGATGTAACCTTCCAGTGTCACCCAGAAAACCAGGCCTGACACAGAGGCCATGAGAGGCTAATCCCACTTCTCCCCACTTCTCTCTAGGCTGACCCGGGGGGGCTCATTAGCATCAGCCTCCTCAGCTCTTCAGAGCTCAGCTCAGGGGAGTTGCTGATGAGCAAGAAAAGGTGAATGCTTCCCACAACCTGTCCATTGTGATCGTATTCCCCAGGTGTACACAGATCATTCCTCCAGAGCTGGAGTCAGGAACTTTTCCTTCTCACTTGAAATTCTGAGAAAACACTTATATTTTCTTATAAAGGCTCTGATGCTTCTTGTCCTAATTTGGAAGTCCTGAACAGGGTCAGGAAATTATCAGTTTATGTTAGGTAAAAATGTTTAAGGAGAGAGCAGCTTCCTCTAGATACCTCCACCCTCTATGTCACCTAAAAGGGTCTAGCTTCTCATCAACACTGGGCCTCTGCTAGTTTGGGCCTCCCTGGGGTGTGCCCTAGTGCCAGGACCTGAATGGATAGTGCTGCCCAGGAGGAGGGCTGAGTGCTGGAGCTCCCGCTGCTTCTGAGCTAACACTTAAATCCTGTCCTCCTCCTGGCAGCTCCGGCTGAGCCAGAGGACATCGCTGACACACAGATTTCTAATCCCTAGGTGCAGGGGGAGGGCACTCTGGCTGTGTGCACAGCCTTGTCAAGGGCACAGAGACAGAGAAGTGATCCTAGAGAGCGAAGGAGATGGAGGTAGAGCCTGCTTGGGATCCCTAGGGAAGGGATGGGTCACGCTGGAGACGAGAGAGAAAACAAGGCCTGGCCTGGTGGCTGTGCTGTGGGGAGAGGCCATTCCCGAAGGAGACCACAAGGCAAACAGGACCAGCCTTCTCCCCCCTTGGGGCTGCATGGGGTAGGGAGAAAGTGGATCTAACCATCTGGAACACCCTGAGGATGGGAAAGATTATGCCTATTAAAAGAAAGTCTTTTTGCTGAAAATTAACAGTAATGATGAGGACAAGGAATGAATGTGGTACCAGGTGATTACCGTCCATATTTCTACTCCATAATTCATTAAAGCCTGAGATTTGAAGATAAGACAAAACAAAAACAATAATTTGTTTCTCTTATACTTTATCAAATAAAGTGACATCATTTAAAATGGGCTCCTTTGGGCATCACTTATTCTGAAAAGGAATTTCAGTACAGAATGAAGAATATACTTTAGTAGCAAAATTAAACCTCCATTTGTGATTACCGTTTTTCAGAAGCACAGAGGTCCAACTCAAGCCACAGCTGAAGCCCCTCACAGCCCCACTCACCTGGGCAAGCCCCCGAGGTCAATCTCACTGCAGATGTAGGGGCCTGGACGCAGAATCACCCACAACCCGATCTCCGCAGCCATCAGCACAAAGGCCCTAGGGAGGTCAGTGTCAGCAGCTCTCAAGACACAGAGGGGATGGTGGGGACAAGCCCAGCATCACAAGGTGGTGGAGCTGCCCAGCTCCTCTCCTCCCTCCCTTCACAGGCCCTGGGAGCTGGGTTCACACTTGCTCCCAGCCCAGGACCTTCTGCACAGCCCCACTGGGGGCATAAGGAGGAAGGGCATCAAACAGGGTATGGGGGGGTCCTAACAGTGAACCTGACCCCAACAGCCTTGCTACCATAGAGGGGCAACCCCTGTCCCAGCACAGATGGCTGGCCCACACTGCAAAGCAGGGCAGACACTGGGGATTAGGCACCTCTGGGCTGCAGTGAAGAGGTCTGGGCTCAGAGGAGGCAGACCCAGACCCCCAGGAGTAACAGGTTCATGGAGAGCATGTGGGTCCCATGAATAAGGCTCCCGACCTGCCTCTCTCTGGCTCTCAAAGCAGAACCAAGATGGTCCCATGGTTCCTGATCAACCCCAAGGGGCCACCTCTCTGCCTCCCCACCCCAGGCCAGGCCATAGAAGAAGCAAGAGCACTTACTCCAGGTCCAGGTTCCCAGAGAAGTCAAATTTGCCTCTTTCTGGCTCATGGAGATTCCATGGAACATAGCTGTAATATAAGATAATTACAGGAATGAGCTTTCATTTATTCCACTTTGTCTTCTAGATTACCTTCTTTACCCCTAAAACCCATTATGATGGTTGAAGATGTATTTCTTAGATACATGTCTTAATGGTGTCAGGATTGGAACCAAGAACTAAGTGAAGAGACTTAGGGACCTTAGAGTATCCAGAGCTGGTCCCTGGGGAGCTAATACCTCATCTCCTTAGGAGAAGGGAGAGAAGGCCAGTAAGATTTGGGTGAAGCATAAGATGTGACCACAGGTGAGCTTGAGCATGCACTCCCCCCACTTCCTCCCTCCCTCCCCATCTCTCCCACTTTTTCTTCATCAGAGAAAAAAAAAAGTAACTTCTTAAGAGAAAAAGTTAAAAGTAAGATAAGAGGAAACCTCAGTGGTCAGTCCTATTTTTACTGAAGCAACCAAAATTCTGAAGAATTCTTTCCTTATCTTCTCTTTAGAAGATAAGGAAATAAAATAAATTCTTTAAGGGGCCCAACTCAAGAGGCAGAGGTAACACAGCAGCTCCTCCCCTGGACTCCCACCCACCCTTAGCTTCCAGTGGAGCCCTTTCCAACTGTAAAGAATGTGCACAGGTAAAGGGGGAGGAGGTTTGCTTGCTTCCAATTCAGACTCAGGAGTTCCCTGTTTAAGAAAATACAGATTACCTAGCTTTTATAAGGTAAAATGCTTAGCCTGCAATATTCCCACAAGCTTTAGGAGTCCTGTGATGTGTGAATGTACCCCCAGGACCAGAATTTACATATGCAAATAAATGGATCCTTTTAAGTAAACCTTCTGGAAAATCATACATTTGTTTCATCTATGCTGTGATGGCCCAGAACATTCTTATAATTCTTCTTAGAAATTGTCTTCAAAGCTAGCTCATGAACCACTCAAGAAAATCCACATGCTTGATCTGTAATCATATATTTTTGCCTGAAAACAGCTTTCCCAAGGAAGCTATTTTGAAAAAGATCACATTCATTTGCTGAATAAATTGGGGGCTGGAGTGCTTGTTTAAAAAAAAAAAAATTGGAGGGCGCCTGGGTGGCTCAGTTGGTTAAGCGACTGCCTTCGGCTCAGGTCATGATCCTGGAGTCCCGGGATCGAGTCCCGCATCGGGCTCCCTGCTCAATGGGGAGTCTGCTTTGTCCTCCGACCCTCCCCCCTCTCATGTGCTCTCTCTCTCATTCTCTCTCTCTCAAATAAATAAATAATAAAATCTTTAAAAAAAAAAAATTGGATAATTTAATCACCTCCTACACCTACACTCACCTCCTTCACTGTATTCCTTTGTACGCCATTGCTCTTCCTATTCCTCTAAAGCTTATACATCCATCCTGTCTTCTCATCCGCACTAATGGGGAGTGCTGTGCAGGTGAGGGAAGGAGGCTGTCGAACCCGGCAGACTTATCCAGAGGGGTGGGCTCCTCCTATATTTTTCCCCACAAAGGTCAGCCTAAAGATTCTCTTCAGGGACAGCTCACGTGCAGGATCTGGCAGGGCTCCCCCCATCCTGACACAATGGAGACCTACAGTCTGGGGTGCCTTGAAGAAGCCCAGGACACAGATGCGACAGATGCCAATGCTTGGTGGTGGGGTGAGCCAGCACTCACGTGGTGAGGGTATTCAAGCCACAAGCTTTCATCTTCAGCAAACGGTCCTTCCAGTATTCCTTGGGCACCCGGAAATAGTGCATGGAGCCCCCGAAGATCCAGAAAGTGGAGTCCTCCAGCATGAAGTATTGGCCATTGGCCTGCAGCCCTGACTGCCGGTGTCTTAGCCACGCAGGGAGCAGATTATACCAATCCAATCTGCAAAGAGAAAAGGCAGCCGAGAAGCTTGGCTCATCCTCACCAGTAAGCAGGGGTACAGAGTCTTAGGAGAGAGGCTTTTTCTCCTCCTCCACAGGCCCTCTGCGTTTCTAAGAGCTCCTGCTTCTGAGTCCTTCAGAAAAGGTTCCCCACCCTCCGATTTAGCCACACCTTAGAAGGAGTCTTTCTTCAGTACACTCATCTGCATCCCACTGCAGGGGAAGAGCAAGCTGAGGCCATAGTCAGGAACAAGACAAACACAAAGGTCAACATGAAAACTGTGCTAACAGGAGAGAGGACGAGGTGGGGGCACACAGCACGGAAAGGGTATTCTCAGGGGCGTGCGGGGTGCCTAGGGCAGGTTCCTACAATGGCCAGCTTGTCCAGGCCATTTGACTAAGCATCAAAGAAGCAGCTATTTCAAATAGTACCTCTGAGCCGCCTCATGGTCATAGCTGCCCAGCCTGAGATGCAAATACCTAGAAGGAGGTATCTGGGTTAGAAACAGCATCTGTTCATTGACCAACATTCCAAGTATTAATTATTATCTAAAGATCAAGTTCAAGAGATAATCCAGCACAACAGAGAGCCCCACCTGGGAGGGCTGTTGGAAAGTGCTAGTCCCTAAAAAAGTAGGTCTTGGGGAGTCCCCTCAAACTGATCCCCATGACTAGAATTCCTTCCCTCTCTTTCCTCCCCCGTCTCCAAAGACCATGAGAGAAACCCAGCAAGAGATGCTGGGGGAGCCAAAAAATTTAGGAGTTTGGAGTCAGAAAACGGTGAGTAGCTCTGAGGGGAAAGCAAATTTCCGTTGGTGCCTTTTCTGCACCCACTTTTCATTACAGTTCCTGACACTAGAGGGCGTATTGCCCCTCAGGGCTCTTCTGCATCAGAAAGCTCCCTAAACTGCTGCCTATCGGTCTTTCCATTCATTTTGTAACACTAGCTAAAACTGTGCCACTGAGAGACATGCTCTGCTTAAGGCCCAAATTGCTCCACGCAATCCATATCGATACACACTGACGGTGGACTGTCATCTCTTAGAAGAAACAGAGATGCAGGAGCCAAAATTAGGCTAAGAGCTTCAATCTTGATTCTGGATTCAACAGTTCTGTGTCCTTCAAAGGGGCAGCTCCTTCACAGAGCTTTGGCCTCCATGGGGTCCAGGAGTGGAGATCATGGGGGCAGAGGGCACATGCATGTCGCACATCCCATTGCTGACTCTCCTAGTATGCTTATGGGATGAGCCATCCCTTCCACTCTCTCTCCATCTCCGCACAGCCCTGTCCTCCTGCTGCGTCCTTTTCCTACATGCCAACCAGCTTCTCCTCCGCTTACAGTGCCAAGTGCTTCAGCTCGGAACATAAACGTGCATACCCTACACTGTAAAGCAGCCAGAGCCCTGCTATTGGTGGGAAAATTTTTAATGGCATTTAGTGAAAATCCACTGCAGGCGTGCATGCTCCTCAGGAAGCCGGCTCCCATCCTACCAAAGTTCCTCCAAGCCACAGACTTCACGGTCCCTATAAGGCATCCTGACACATACAGTCTTCTCCACCTCCATGCACACTCAGATAATTACAAGTCGGTGTCATGCTGTGCTGTAAGGCAAGCACAAAGATAAGGCCAGGGCTGGCCTCTGGGGCATGTGATCCATGCAGTCCACACAGGGCCCCAAGCTCAGAAGGCTCCCTTGCAACAAGTAGTTAAATAAGCCACAGAGATCTAATCCACAGTATATTGAATATAGACTATATACTATAATTATGTCATGTGATAAATTGTTAGAGTGGCAATCACATTACGATATATAAATGTATCAGAGCACACACTACACATGATTTCAGACACACTATCCCCATCCTGAAATTCTCAATGTTTTTTAGACAAAGGCCCCACATTTTCATTATGCACCGGGCTCCACAAATTAGGTAGTCCTAGCAATGGCAGAGGACAGTAGCTGAAACACACACACACACACACACACACACACACGTAATTGTCAAATGAAGAAATTATCTGTATCATCCAGGTGGAGTCAGAGAAAGCTTCATCCAGAAGATGACATATTCACAGGTTTGAAGGCAGAGAATATAAGAAACCCGAGGGAACTAGGGGCAAAAGCATTAAAAAGTGAAAGCGTATCTACTCAGGGAATGGCAAGCAGACAGGTGAAGAGGCTGTGTGAGCAGGCACCCCAGCCCGGGCCCCTCCGCAGCGTGGGCCTGGCGTGGGCACGCACCGCTGCCAACCACCTGCTAGTCTACAACTGGTACAGAAACGGAGATAATTTTAGAGCAATGAGGGTCATGTCTGTTGAAGCTCATCATAAAAGACTGGGGCATGTACTTTGTGGATCTCTTCATTTCCTTTTTCTAGTAATGCGTTTTCAATGTCTTTGATAAAGTAACATTGGGGGGAAAAAAACTTTTAAAGAAGAAAAGGAAAATGATTCTTCAGCACCGAGAGATTGAGAAATATTGCTCGAGACCAGAAACAACAGTCTGGCCTCGGGCAGTTGTGATCAGAGCTGGGAGGACAAACATATTGACCAGTTCGGTTTAACAGGCTTAGTAACCAAATGGGATGCAGGACGCGTGAGACCAAAACAGCGTGAAATTGCTTCATCAGCAGCCTTCCCAGCACTTGGCTGAAGTCGACTACACGACTAGAAGGGAGGTTTGGGTTTAGCCACCACGGTGGTTCTCAAAGCTGGCCCCCTATCTGAATCACCTGGGAAGCTTAAAACTAAGGAATGTGCAGGCCCCACCCCTGACCAATTAATGACGGTGGAGATGGACCACAGGGATTGGTAGTTTTTACAAGCTCCTCCACAGATCTGGGTGAGACTGAGCTCCTGGAAGGTGTTACAGGAGGGCTTGGTGGCAAATCAGGGACCCTGATGGCCAGAGATGGGAGAGCAGGAGGCCAAGAAGACAGAAGTGCCACAGACATCACTGACCGCTTGGAAATTTTGTCAATGGCCACTCATGGGCAAAAAAAATTAATTTGACCCCTCCTTCCTACTTCTCACAGCCCCCAGGACCCAGAACTCCTGGTGCTCTGCGGACTGTAGTTGTATTATAGTACGGTTGAAATGGTCATTTGTGGATAACCTGGGGACCTAATTATTGTTTTCTTTCTCTAAAGAGAAAAGTTCCATGTTCCAAGTGACTTAGAAAGGATATTTCAGAATATAGTTCTAGGGGCACCTGAGTGGCTCAGTCGGTTAGGCCCTGGGATCAAGATCTCAGGGTCATGAGTTCAAGCCCCGTGTTGGGCTCCACACTGGGCATGGCACCTACTTAAAAAATAGTAATAATACAGTTCTTCCAAAGGACCATCTATATGGGGAAGCAAAAACAAGAACAGTATCTGTAAGAGGAGGATCTGGACATGAATCCCGGCCCCACCCTTGTAGCACGGCCACCTTGGGTCAGTGACCCTAGCTCTGTGGACATGAGTTTCTTCCTCTGTGAAATGGGGTGCATGCCTGTCCTAACTGCTGTGAAGGTCAGATATTAACGGAATACTCTGTAATGTGCTATAAAAGAATTTTGTCACTATTTGAAATAAGTTTATTTTTGCATGTTTTGCATATTAGAAAGAACAACCTCAGTGGGGTTTTTTTATGTCCTTAATATGGAATCATCCCAATTTTTCCATTCTTAACCATTTAATTTATTGTCTAATCATATTTTATATGCAAGATTTTGTGCCATCTTATTACAATTTCTAAAATTTTGCAGTGAAAGGTCTATCCACCAGGATGCTGTCAAACCAATCCAGCAAACCCCAGGTGTGGGCCAAAGCCACCCTGCCTCCTGTCTTTGTGCAGCCAGCAAGCTATGGATGTCTTCCACATTTTTAAGTGGTTGGAAAGAAACCCAAAAAACAAGATTTGGGGGCACAAAAAATTATATCAACTTCACATTTCACATTTCAATGTCCATAAATGGTTTTACTGACACCCCTCCATGCCCACTCCTTTCAGTCCTGACTGTGGCTACTTTGGGGCACAGTGACGTTGCTGGGATAGACACTGCAAAGCTGAACACATTTACTATGTGGCCCTTTACAGGAAACTTTGCCAACGCTGCCCTAAAGGATGAGGCCTGGGATACTCAAAGGAGGCTGCAGGCCCCCCATGACCACTGTCGGGGCCTCCTAGCCACCTCCTTGGTCTGGCTCTTCTCACTACCCCCCCACCTCCCCACCCCGACTCTTTCCTTTGGCCACAGGCTCCTGGTATGCCGGCTGTGTCTGAAGTCTCTCATACTGCAGGCACAGGAGAGTTTGGTCTCCCTTAGTTTTCACCATATCTGCTCCAAAGAACACACTCTGCCTTCTTGCCTCATGGACTCACTAGGCTTTACATACTCTCCCCACCTGACACCCCCAGGCATTCCCTCAGGTGCCCCACCCTCCAGGCTAGCCCCAGGCTAGAATGAGGAAGAACTGATGGACAGATTCTCTTCTTAAACACAGGGGTATATACTGACAGTCCAGTGGTAAAAATACACACATGCACACACAAAATCTCATTATTTTTAAAGACAGTGAAAATACAATTTAGCAATCACTCCACTGGGCAGCACTCCTTATTCACTGGCCAGAACTTCAAAACAACAATCTCCAACTCACCAAGCTCATATCACGGACCTTAGCTTTTGTTTAAGGTGTCTCCCAAATGCTGTGAGAGCCTCCCTCTCCGCACCCACTCAGTGAAGAGGTGTAGACACGGTTGGAAACGCACTCTGCGACCCCTTGTTCCAACATACTCCCTGCTAGTAACACACTCTCCCTAATCTGTCCCCTAGCAGGTACCTAGTCATTAGGAAACCTCCTTCTGGGTTTATGTCTCCAGCTGTGGTCTGCACCTGCAAAGTATCTTCATCTGGAGTTTGCTACAAATGCAGAAACTCGGGCCTTAACTGAGACCTGAATCAGAATCTGCATTTCAACCAGAACCCAAGGTAAAGTTTGAGAAGCACTAATCT